CCCCGATTCCCCCTTTCCTCCCTCCGCACGTATTCGCGCCCCCCGCTGCGCCCCGCTAGTTACTCAAGCCCTATCATCTAGCTAATCTATCGCCTTTCAAAATACTTTTGTATCAATCTACCTTTAAAAACGATTAGTCCCTTTTCAAAATTTCGTTTTGAAATACGTTGGAAATAAGTAGTTAATTTTTCCAATTTCTCGAAATACTTCCTCTCCAAAAATTCTTTAAAATTTAAAGCTTCCCTTTTTCGTAATTGCACAATCGAAATTATTTTTTTTATAGAATTTTTTTTTTTTCCAAATTACTCTTGTACTATTTTCGAAAATACATCCCAATGAATTCATTAGTTCCACAAAATCTTTTCGAAATGCTTTAGAATTAAATCACCCTTTTCCTATGTTACCAGTTGTTCGATGGCAGGACGTCCTGGGCGGACAGTCAGGGGGGTCCCGGACGTCCGGGCCCGGACAACTCCATTTTTAGCAATTAAATGCACAAGAAAAATAAAAAAATTGGGTGTGCCTTTAATTTTATATTTTATTTTAAAATTGACAACGAATTTCGATATCATCCCAAGGCAAAAGTTGTTCAGTTTATGTTTCTGCATAACATAGTTTTTTTTTCAGTTTTTTTTTGCAGTTCGGGCTCGGAAAGTCTGCCAGGGGAGGATGTCCGACCGGTTGTCCGAGCGGACAACCCCGGACGGTCAGGGGGGTCCCGGACGTCCGATCAGGTAACCTAGCCCTTTTCACAAATTTCGTTGAAAATCTTTTCCGTTTGAAATTTTCCTTCTGAACTTCCCTTTTGCATGAACTAATTAGTTCCTTCTCGAAAATTTGAATTTAAAAATACTTTTGAACTCATTACTTCTTTTCAAAATTTCTTTGAAATATTTTGAAATTAATAATTCTTTTTCTTCGAAATTGCTTTTTCTTTTTCGAAATTTCTTGAATACTTTAGAATTAATTCATTTCTTTTTGGAATACCCTTAATTTCTTTCCAAATTCGTTGGAATCCTTTTGCAACTCATAATTAGCCCTTTTTCGAAATTTTGAATTCACATTTTGAACTTTGAAATTAATTACTTATTTTTACAAAATTATCTCGAATTTTTTTTCCTTTGCCGACATTTCTTTAAATTCACGTTCAGAATTAATCCCTTCCTTCGGAATTAATTATTATTTTTCCAAAATTTCAACGAAAATTTTTTAAATTCACCCTCCTAATTCTTTTTCTATAATTCGAAGATATTCCAAAATTTCACGCAAATAAATTTTGAAATAAATTCAAATTTATTTTCTTCCAATATTTTGAACAACAAATTTTTTAAATCTCTCCTTCGGATCCTTCAAAATTTTGTTCTACCCAAATTAAATTCGAATAAATAAAATTCCAATCGGAATAAATTTATTTATTCAATATTAATTCCCTACATTCCAAAAAGTCTTGGCAATTATCTTTATTTTTGAATTTATTGATAACTAAATATGGGATTGCCCCCCCCACCTCCACATGCCACCACGCCAAACCAAGAACTCCCAACGAGTCGACGCCGACGCCGACGCTGCTGCTGCATCCTCCACATTCCTTCCGGCCACGTCGTCCACCCCCTCTTCCCCCGACATGGCCGCATCCTCCATCAACATGTCTGACATCCGCACCGACTCGGTCGATAGCATTACCCGCAACCTCGCAGGCGAACAACCACCAGCAAACACTACCACCACCGACCTCTCCGCCATCCTCCACACACTCAACACCCTCCAAACCTCCGTCACCGCCTCTCTCAACGACATAAAAGCCTCCATATCGTCCATATCCGACTGCGTCACCACGTTCGAAGGGAACAACCCCTTCATCACGGTCGTCACCACGGCCGCACCTCCGACCTCCACAACATAGACCACTCCCTCCTCCACAGCCGCTTCCAGCAACACCCCCCCGCCGACCTCCTCCACTCCTACCACCTCTACCACCATATCCACCAACCCTTCCTCCTCAACCCTCCCCCCCCCCCTCATCATCCACCACCGTTTCGCTCCCCCCCCCCCCCCCCTCATCCGGCGCATCCAACACACCGCCTCATTCCTCGCCTATCCACGTCACCCCTCTTCCCCCCCTACACTCTCATACCATTCCCCAGCCCATCATGACGACCTCCACCATCCCCACCCTCCGTCCCACCTATTCCCAAGTCACCTCCGGGGTTTACCCTGCAATGCCACAACTTCCCCCCAGCTACCTCCTTGAGGACAACAACCAACTCGACTACAGCTGCTACGACACCACCCTCGATAACCTCAGCTTCAACACCCTCGCCCTGATCGTTTCCCACGACGAGAAATCCCCCGTTCCTTCCGATCCGTCGACATCATGTCCTTCTCCAACCTCCCCCACGAGGACGTTTTCCTCTTCCTAACCCAGCTCCAGAAGTCTTTTCACCTCCACCACATGCCCCTTGCCCACTGGCTCCCCATTGCCACCTCCCGCCTCCTCGGCAATGCCGCCAAATGGTGGATGGCTGAAGTCAACAACCGTCGAGCCTCCGGAGGACCACGTCACTCCTTCCTCCAGTGGGCCAACCTTCTCACTGCCACCTTCCGCCCCCAGAAAACCATTGATGACTACCTTGAACAATTCTGCCACCTCCGCCAGACCGGTCCCACAGACGCTTCGTCCAATACGTCCTCTCCCTCCACCAACACCTCCCCACCACCGTCATTCTCGACTTTGCGTTCATCTCCCACATCAAACGAGTATGCCACAAAGACCTTGCACCCGCCCTCGCCCACGAACCCGACATGCCCCTTGCTGACTCTCGCGCATGCTTCACCACGATCGACTCCTCCACCCCCATCGCCAGCCCGCGCCCGCCCCCTCCTGCACCCTCTTTTTCCATCACATCACCCCTGAAGACACCACCTCCATCACTTCCTCGGACGAGTTCACCACACCTGACCCCGACGCATCTTCCGATTCACTCGACTCTTCATCCCTCACTTCCGAGGAACTCAATGTCGTCCAATTCATGAGAATGGAGCACAGAGATCGCAGCTCCCGTCCACTCTCATCTACCCCACTCTCCCGCCTCAAGAAACTCGCCCTCGAGGAGCGCACCTACCTCCAAGCAAACGAGGGTTGCTTCCGTTGCCGCCAATTGGGGCACCAACAAACCGACTGCCCCAACGCCGCACAATTCACCCGCCAGTTCGCCTCCACTTGAGCCGCAACCTCCGCATTAACGCCTTCAGCAAGCGCGGGTCCCTCCTCCTCATGAACACAGTCCCCAGGACATCGTCCCGGCATCGACACAGTGTTTGTCGGCCCACCCATCGGTGACGTCCTCCGTCCCACCGATGGCTCATCTGGCATCGACAATTCGTTTGCCTCCCCCCTCTCCGGTGACACCCCCTCCACTGGACGACTCCCAAGCGCCGCAAACGCTTCCCACTGCCTCATGCTCCTCTACCCTTCGTCCAAACCCATCCACTGTCACCTTCTCCGATGTTGTTGAGGAACAAGCTCGACACGATCGGCTTGTCCGCTTAGGCAACGAACAATGCCGCCTCAACACCATCATCTCCACCGCCAACTCATTTCGTTTGCACCTCAAATTCATCGCCGCCACCCTTGGTGCGTCTACAACTAAGTTCTGGGCCCTCCTCGACACTGGAGCCACCGGTAACTTCATCACCGACGCGTGTGTCTGCAAAGTCGGTCTTACCTCTACCGGTTATGACTCCCCGATCACGATTCGCCTAGGGGACAAAGACACCGCCGTCGTAGTAGACCACACGGTTCCCGAGACCACCATGACCGTCGGAACCCTCCGCAGTCAGGTCTCGTTTGATGTTATGCACTTGATGTGCGACATCGTCTTAGGAACCCCATGGCTGGACCGCTACATGCCATACACATTCCACCCCAACTTCCTTCGCCTCACCAACCCCCCCGGCACAACCATCGACATCCCCTATCTCCCATATCCGACCTCCCAAGGCTTCGTCACCCCACACCAATTCCTCCGCATGGCTCGCCTAAGCCCCGACTCCGCCTACTAATGTCTTGTCCTTGATCACGAAAGTCCCGAGGACTTACTCCCAACGAACAAACGCGATCAAGCCCCCCCCTCCAACCCCGCCATCACCTCAATCCTCGACAAGTTCAAGGACGTCTTTCCCGAGTCCTTACCCGTCGGACTACCTCTGGATCATGGCGTATCCCATGCCATTGATTTAGAACTCGGACATTGTCCACCTTGCTGCCCTCCATACCAACTCTCTGTCCCCGAAGCCGAAGAAATGAAACGGCAACTCGGTGAACTCCTTGAAAAAGGGTTCATTAAGCCAAGTTCGTCCCCCTTCGGAACCAGCTGCCTTTTCGTCAAGAAAGGTGGAACTTCGGAACTCCGCATGTGCATGGACAACCGCGCCTTGAACTGGATCACGATCAAGAACAAGTACCCCCTACCTCGGATTTCCGAGCTCCTTGATCATCTCCGTGGAGCCAACTACTTTACCAAGATCAACCTTCGCAGTGGCTTCCGCCAGATCCGTATCCGCGAGGAGAACACCCACAAGACCACCTTCCGCTCTCGGTTCGGGCACTAAGATTTCCTCGTGATGCCATTCAGACTCACCAATGCCCCCACTACCCTCCAATCTACCATGAACCACATCTTCCACAACCTCCTCGAAGTTTGTGTCGTCGTCTGCCTTGATAACATCCTTGTCTTCAGCCCAGTCCTCTCGATCCTCCGAGAGCAAAAATTTTACGCCAAGCTCAACAAATGTACGTTTGCCGCTTCGAGCGTCGAATACCTCGACCACATTGTCTCCGCCGAAGACATCCGTATGGACCCCTCGAAAGTCACAGCCCTCGTCGAGTACCCCCCACCCAAGACCCTCCTTTAACTTCGTTCCTTCCGTGGCCTTGCCAACTATTACCGCCCGTTCATTCGCAACTTTTTCGAGATCTCTTACCCTCTCCACGAACTCACCCGCAAGGACGAGCCCTCCCATTGGAACGATCGTCGCCAACACGCTTTCAACTTACTCAAGCAAACCATCACCACGGCCCCTGTCCTCAAGATCGCCAACCCCACTCGCCATTTCTATGTCACCACTGACGCCTCCGACCTCMCCATTGGAGCCGTACTGTCCCAATATTTCCTCCGCGACACCGCCGAGACCCCCTCCATCAAGGACTCGCCCACTCACCTCGAGGCTTCACCTGGCGAATACCCCATCGCCTTCGCAAGCATGAATTACCCCTCCAACGAGAAGAAACTCCTCGTCGTGATTCACACCCTCACAGTCTGGCGCCCGTACCTCGACGGGCAATACTTCACCATCCACATTGACAACACCATCGTCTCCTCCATCCTCTCCAAGAAAGATATCACTCCACGCCAAGCTCGCTGGCTAGACTTCCTTGCCCAGTTCACATTCACCATTTGTCATACCCCCGTCAAAAGCAACCGCGTTGCAGATGCCCTCTCTCGACGACCCGACCACAAGCCCCCCGAGAAAGTCTACGCCTCCATGACTCATATCCAACTCCTCCCATCACTCCATCACCGATTCACCCAAGGATACCTCTCTTGCCCAGACTTCGCCACCATCTACAACAAGCTTCGCAATCTTGACCCAGTCCCTGACTACTCCCTTCACGACAACCTTCTCTACATCGATACCAAAGGCACTCGCCGACTTTGCATCCCCGACGCATGTGGTCTCCGTACTCAACTCTTGGTCGAGCACCACAACGCCAAGACCGCAGGACACCTCGGTTTCCATAAAACCTTCGACACCATCTCCAACTACTTCCACTGGCCTTCCCTGCTCGCCGACGTCAAAGCATACATTCGCTCATGCCCCACGTGTCAAGTTGTCAACCCCTCGAACCGGGCCAAACTCGGCAAGCTCCAATCATCGTCCATCCCAACTCACCGGTGGCAGTCAATCTCCATTGACTTCGTGTGCGGCCTACCCAAGACCGACCGCGGGCATGATTGCCTCTACATCATTGTCTGCCGCTTGACCAAACGTGCCCACTTCATCCCTTGCACGACCTCGCACAGTGCCAAAGACGTCGCCACACTCTTCTTCGACCACGTTGCTCGCCATCACAGCCTCCCCGAGAACATCATCAGTGACCGTGATTCTCGCTTTCTCTCACAATTCTGGAAACAACTCTTCACGGCCTACGGAACCATGCTCAAGCATAGCACTGCATTCCATCCACAAAGCGATGGACAAACAAAGAAGATGAATGATACTCTCCAAAGAATCATGCGGAAGTATTGTCATCCTCACCAACACGATTGGGGTCAGTTGCTCACAGCCGCCGAGATTGCCTACAACAACGTCGTTTGCCCTTCCACTGGCATATCTCCATTCTACCTCGACCTTGGCTACCACCCTCACTTGCCCTCTGACTTCTTGCTTCCTTCGCAGCTTAACCCATCCACCCCCTGCCCCTCTCTCAATGAATGGGTAGCAACAATGAACAGACTCCTAAGAGAAGCCTCCGAAGCCATTGAACGAAACCAAGAACAACAAGCCAACAAGACTAACAAACATAGATGCGACGTGTCATTCAAAGTAGGGAACAGTCTGGCTCTCCGTCAAACGCTTTGAACCCGAACACGGCTTGTCCAAGAAACTCTCCAACAGATGGCTCGGTCCCTTCCCCATCATTGAACAAACCTCCCCCGTCAACTACAAACTCGAACTTCCCCCTGACATGAGTCGTGTCCACCAGTCTTCCATGTCGAGTACCTAAAAGAATACCATGAATCCCCACCCAGTTTGCCAACCACCCATATCCTAGACCTCCACCAATCATGCTACCCACAGACCCTGAATTCGTTGTCGAAACCATCATCGGTCGACGAACCACTCAGGTATCTGATCATCCGGAACCCATCACGGAATGCAAAGTCAAATGGAACGGATACCCCGACGAAGAATCTACATGGGAACCTCTCTCTAATCTTAAGAACGCCATGAGACATGTCTGCGCCTATGATCGTGCTAATCCTATGTCCTAGATACTTGTATAACTATGGCATAAACCCTGCTACAACCTCGCAACCCCGCTCTACACACACCCCTGAACCCAGTCCACCCTCCCCTTGATCCTCATTCCTGATGTCTTATCTGCCCTTGGCCTCGCCTAGCCTTGTCCCATCTGTCCTCTCCACTACCTTGTCTCTCTTGTCCAATGCTTGTGAACCTGCGTGACGTCGGCGATAAAGGATCTAATGGCAAGCGCACGAGGACGATGGTCTGCTGACTCACTATTCATGGAGATTATGCAGCTGGTTTGGCCACCATGCTGTTTCATCGGCCGGCATCCCGACTCGCGGACTTACTGGAGCAGCAACTTGTGACATGGATCTTTGCATCAGTCTGCGACTTCCTTGCTTCCAGAACAGACCTCATTGCAGTTCGTGTACCGGACGCACCCTAGCACTTGGGCTTTGACACTTGAACTACTACTACTCTTCTTGGACTTCTACCTGTCATGGCCGCTGAAGACCGCTTCTACCACCTACTCCAAAGACTTGATCAAGACCGCTGCAGACCCCCTTTCAAGACACTTGGACACTTTGTTCCTACATGAGATTCTGCTTCTGACTTCCCTTGCATCCTGAACAAACATTTTCATTTTTAGTTTTCCTGACTTTGACAACCCTGTAGAACATCATTAGCAGATCCGTGTTCCCCTGACCATTGCTTCCCTTACCCACTAGAACATCAATAGAAATACCCTGTTTTCCTGAACACCATTTCCCTTACCCAGTAGAAAATCGATAAAAGTTGCCTGTTCCCTGAACTTTGTTCCCCCTTAACCTATAGCAAACCATGCAGTCCCCTTAGTTCATCAGTAGGACTACCCTGCTCCCTGTCGTCCCTTTAGTTCATTTGTAGAACTACCCTGTTCCCGGCAACCCCCCCTAGTTCATTTGTAGGACAACCTTGTTCACCGGTACCAAACCCTGTTCCCTCTTACTGCTGCAGCCCATGCCACCCACATTATACCCCTCTTTCCTTTCGACTTGTTAACCAGTGATTGGCCCCGTCCCGTCCTTCACAGATTTCAACATTGCTTCATGATTTTTGGCAACCGAGACGCTGCCTTCTAGAGGGAGGGGATAGTGTTACAGACTCCGCCAGGGCTCGATCACTGGTCTATCTTTTTGCTGTTTCGGCTGCATCCCATTTTCGGCCTGGCACCCTTTTTCAAAACCCCTCCTTTGGTACCGTAGGATTTTGGACAACTCGCGCCATGTTGCAATTCGGGCGCCACTTTCAAATACCGCATTTTTCAGTTCTGCCCTCGGGGCCTTTGCAGAAATGCCCCTGGTACCGTACGTGTCACCGGTACTTATACCGGCTCCCGTACGGTACGGGGACCAATCTCGTACCAGTTTCCAGTTGTCGGACTCGTACTCAGTGTGATTTACTGTTTCGGCATTCGGGAATCCAAGACTTAGACTTTGTGCCCTTGCCACTGAGTCTGCGTCCGACCCTCAATCATGTCGAGTGAGTGAGTGTGTGTGTGTGTGCTCCCACTCTCTCCGTCTCTCTCTCCCTCTCTCTCTCCTCTCCCTCGACTCTTCCTCAGCCTCGCGCACGTTACATCCACCCCCTGATTGACTTAATCTTAATAACTGACTCTCTAAGGACCACAAAATCCTTTGGGGACCCTGTCAACCTGTGTAGCACACCGAACATGTTCAGAGTTTTTCCGAATGTCCGAACATGTTCGGGTGTTCGACCGATCGCAACCCGAACGTGGTCGGCCGAACATATTCGAAAAAAATAAAATAAAATAATTTTTTTTGGTTTTATTTTTTATATTTAACTCGAGTTCGGTCACGAATTTGAGCATACCTCCAAGGCAAAAGTTGTTTGTATTATTATTTTACATAACATATAGTTTTTTCAGATTTTTTGGAGTACTGTTTTTTTTTTTTAATATTTTTATGTTCGCGTTCGGAGAGTTTCGACGCTCGTTCTCGTTCGGTCCCGAACGTTTGGGTTCGGTCACCGAACCCGAACACGATGCTACACAGCTGTCAACTATGGTATCTAGCCTAGACCTGAAACTACAGCTGTCACTACAGGACTCCAATGTTGATCAGGAGGCATTTAAGGAGATCCCCCGTAACTCCTCATAAATGATTTAACGTCGCAAACAGGACAACGCGATCAGCAAGTCTTCTCAAGACTTAGACAGCTGGTTGTGCAGCCCACAGCTCGGATTTTGGGCCTACCATGCCACACTAAGCAGCCCGCCGGTCAATACCGGTCCTTGGGAAGGTTTGTCCTCCGGGTCAGTCAGTTGCCAAACATGGCCTTTAGCCCTACTCAGCCCCTGTGGGTTTGGTCAACACAGCTCTATGACCTCATACACAAAGTTCCTATCACCTGGACAGAAGAGACTCAATGCAGAAAGAAGAGACAAACAAACTCAGCAAGTACTATGGGGTGAGTGCACATCCATAGGGCGAGGGGATAGGCTGAAGGCTTGGCGAGAATATATCAACTCCAGCTTCGTCAAATTCGTGGTCAACAGCTCCGGTCAACGCTGGTCAACGCTGGTCAACGTTGGTCAACTCCTTGATCAACACCTTGGTAAACACCGGTCAACCCCTCTGTCAACACCTCGGCCAACCCCGGTGAACTTCCCGGTCAAGCCTCGGTCAAACCTAGTCAACTCCCGGGTCAACGCTTTGGTCAACAGTCAATTCGGCTACGGCTGCCAACCTTCCTTTCTTTCTCCCCAACCTCAGTATTCTCCTTCTCCCTCCTTCCTTCTTTCTCACTTCTTTCCTCCTTCACCCCGGATATGTCTTTCTCTCTCCTCCTTCGTCTCTCTTTTCTCTTCCTCGGCTATGGATTCCCTCTGCTTCTTCGTCTCTCCCTCCTCCTTTACTTAATCTTCTTTCTTCTTCATTAACTCGGTGTCCGAGCTTCGGCGGATATGGCTGCCACCTCCTTTCTTGGACCGCACAACCAGTCTTGTATCGCTCCTCTCTCTCTCTCTCTCTCTCTCTCTC